AAATTCATGAATCGGAGCTCCTACTAGTTCATGTACCGAATCAATCCTTAAGATAATTATTTATCTACTTCTTTCTCAAGATGGAATTGATTCCATCTTGTATAATAACATTCTCAGCTACCCACTTCATCATGTTTTTAAAACACAAGGAATAGGATTCAACATCTTAGAATTCATACTGAGTAAATTAAAAGACACAAATCCATAAATAGGAGTCTGCTAATAACTTAGTTCTAAGATCGTTCCATTTATGACCATCGGTAGACTCAATTAGAATTTCTATAATTAATTAAAATTATCAGAAATTATATTGTGTCTATGTCCCGGTTCTACAATCTTATCATAAGTAACACACGCATTCAATATCTCATCATATTAACAGTGTAGATAACACTATTCCATTCTAAATGGGTATGACATGTATTAATAATGTTCTTAACTTTAATTAAATTCACTACGGACATCGTTTTTATTATTATCCTTAAATATTATCCTTTCGCATATAACACTTATATACAATATTTATGGTCAGATAAATAATCATGTAATTTACAATGATATTCATAAAATATTTAAAAATATATGGATATAAAATAATGAATAAATTCTTTTATTAAATAAATAATAAATATCCTATACATCTCATGCTTCTAGGATCTCATTCCCAACATATTTTTAGGTTAGGTTAATTTTATATTGATTAGTTTTATATTTTGTTAATTATTTGATTTATTTAGTTCAATTATTGATTCTTTGATTAGATTAATTGTATTTTATTATGTGTTGATTCTCAAAAACATATCGGGAAGTAATTGGTGTGAGGAAGAACAAATTACCAAAAGAGAATTATTCAGGGAGGATAAAAATCTGATGAATCTCAAAATATTAGAACATAAAATCAATCTATCATTCGATCCAGAAAAAATCCGGTTTTAAAAAAAAAAAAACTATAATCCGGGGATCCTATGCAAACTCTAGAAACTGAATCTTCCAGGCTTGAGAACGAAGCGAGACTAATGGTCCCAATGGTGGAAAAAATTTGATCTGGATGATGATGGAAAATGATGGGCAATCATTATGAAGCGAGTTGCCAAATGAGGGACAAAGGAGAAAGAATTGTTGTGACATTTAATGAGAAAAACAATCCCATCGAAAAAATGGGAGACGAGCTTCAAAGTTACATTGGTGTGTTAGCTCGTGAACATGTAACCATAACTACATCTACTAGAAAAATGGCTCAGGACTTTAGGAGTAAACTATTTAGAACGTTTAGTTAGCTGTTGAAAGATAATCCCCAAGCCTATATAATGCCAAAGAAAGTGGCGAAAAACTATCCTTCAATTACAACGGAGCAACGGAGCAATTGAAGGAGTACTTGGACTACAAACTTAGTCTGACTCAACAAGCTATTTCCCAAAGTGCCTCTGAGAGAAGATCAACGTACACGTACCCGTAGGGGAATGTTCTTGAGGGATATAGGAAAATAGAGGAAGAATATGTGCGTTTCAAATTACTTTTTTTTCCTCAACACATCATTATTTTGTTGTCTTATAATTATCATTAATGGACTATACGCTTGATGAATATATCTAGAACACGGATGTCTATCCTGATCGAGTCACATTATGGAAATTCATACTACAAAAAAAGGACGGTATTTGTGTTGGTCTCCGAATCGAATTCGGATGTGGAAGCGTGAGGGGAGGCGGATCGTGTATAATAAAAAATATTCATAAAACCTTTGAGATACTCTATAGATTATATTAATTTATGCACGAATAAATTAATCTCATTAATTCATTTATTAAGAACTCAATTAGAAAAAATACCTGGAGGCCGACTCGGATGATAACTTGAGTTCTTTGACCTCGAACAATCCTTGCTCCAAAGCTTTGTGTTTAGAAAACCAATGTCTTCCACGTCAATTCCTAGAATCCACGAAGACGTGTGTGTGGGCACACATGAGATAAAACGGGTTACAATAAACACTCAAATTTCCACAAACACCAACGCATGCACGATGTGGAACTTTTAGAGAAAAATTTTTCCTTCCCTTCTCTAAGAGAATTTCGGCCATAACTGGAATTAGGGCAAAAATTGTTTCAAAAATTGTCTCAAAAATTGTGTCCACAATTTTCTACTATTCTCCTATTTATAGAGTAGAAGTCAAACTTCTAGAAGGAATCTAATCTCTATCTCCAAGATAAAGCTTGTCAATTATCTCCTATTTGAATTTGGAACAAAATCTCCTCTTTTCCTCTATCCATTATGGCCGGCCAAGATAGGAGATTCTCATCCCTGTGTAGGCGCCAATATCAGATAGGGAAGGGAGAGAAAATTATCCTTTATCTTGTAGTCCAATTTTGACTCAAATTCAAATTCCAATTTAAGTCAAACATAAATTAATTTGAATTCTAAATTGAATAACTTATCAAATAAGTTTAAATGGATAAATCTAGATGTGTTCAAATTAAAATTTAAATAATCACATTATTTAAATAATAATTAATTCTCAATTAATTATTTTCGAGTATTTAATTTTAGAATTCCGTAATTCTAAAATTC